TTGTGCACATTGTCTGGCTTCCAGGGCCTGTGCTTCTCTTCCTGCGTCCTCAGCGAGGAATGGACAGGGGCGGTGGGGTCTGCTGTGGTTTTCCTGGGGTCCAGCAGGCTGCCTGTGGAGCATGGCGGTGAGGGGGAGAGAGGGAGCCATTTCTCCCAGGAGCTGACACTGCCCTGCGTGGGCCCAGACCCAACTGGTACCTTCTGTGTTAGACACCAGGAGAACCTGTTCACTAAGCAGTGGCAGGCACAGTGCTGGGGACGAGACATCTGGGTAGAGAAGGAAGACGAGGACGATGCCTCCTACCTGCGTCAGGCATCTGTTTCCAGCTCCCACATGCACCATCTCATTGGCTCTGTGAGGGAGACAGGCAGGTGTGGCCCTCCCTGTTTGTTAACTGGGGGCACTGAGCACCAGAGACATGACAGGCTGGCCCACGGTCACCAGCAGGCGAGTGAGGGACAGAGCGTGGCCATGCCACCAACGCTCTCTCTTCTGCCAGCAGCTGGATCGGCCCCCTCCCCTCATCATGGAGGAGTCCCTCTAGCCAGCAGCCCTGGGGTCTGAACTGTTTCACCATCTGTTTCTGGACTCCCTTCTTTCCCACCTCTCCTCTGGATGGCCTTGACTCTCTTTGTGACCCATCAGGGAAACATTGTGGATTCCCCAAAGGGCCCCTGCAGCAGTCAGCTGTATTCTCCGCAATCATACTCCACTCCTCATCCAGCCTGTGGGACCAGTGACATTTCGAGAGGCTCAGGGAGGGATGGTGACGCTAAACAAGACCCTCAGGGTTCCTAGTGTCAGTACCTGGAGAACTAATTTTGCAGGAGGGTAGAGGGGCCCCCTGTGCTCTGGGCGGGGATTGGATCTGTCTCGGAGGCTTCCAATGCCTGCAGATAGAGTTGGGACCCTCAGGTCTCCTGTCTCTCTCAGGAGGGTGAGCCCACAGTGACTTCCCACTCAAGCCCTGGACCCTGACCTGGGAGGCATGCTGCCCCGACCCTGCGAGCTGGGCTTTCCTTGACATTGTGACGACATGCACACCATTCTCATCAGATGAGAGAAATGATGGGTGGCCGTCCACCACCCCATCCCTGTGCAAAGGGGCTGTGGAGGATGTGGAGGAGGAAATGTTAGATTCTGCCACTCGGAGATCTCAGGTTACAGTTGCAGAGACCAGACAGGGCAGTATCATTAAGCGCCTGTGTGCAATTAGGTGTTCAATTGCCTGGCCCAGATGTACATGTAACCACAATAAGGAAATGGCAGAAATACATGTAGTTGGTGAAAAAGGGCTTCATGGGGAGGCATTGGAAGTGGGTCTTGGGGAGGAGGTCAGAGGGAGGCAGACCCTGTGTGTGGTCACACGGCACTGGGATGGGCTTCATTCTGTTGCTTATAACAGAAATACCCGAGACTGGCAGACTTGTAAAGAAACCATATTTATTGCTTAGTTTTGGAGGCTGGAAAGTCCAAAGTTCAGGGAACACATCTGGCGAGGGCCTTGTTCTTGGTGACTCTGCAGTGACGCAGGGTATCACATGGTAGATGGTGGCACTAGAAAGAGAGAGCTTCTCATGAGCTCTCCTTTTAAAACCATCAGAACCACGCTCATGACCACCATTTAACCATCAGTAGATTAATCCACTTACTCCAGCATGGTCCTCATGATCTAATCACCTCTTCAAGGCCCCACCTTTCTATGACCATAATAGGATTTCCCACCCTCTTAATACTGTCACAGTGGGGGTCAAGTTTCTAATACCTGGACTTTGGGTACACAGTTCAACTTGCTGCCCATGATGCTTGGACACCTCTTTGGCTTGAAGATGGTAACCAGTGGCTTTGCTCATGATCTGCAGCCTCTTGCTCCACACCCTACAGGAGCCCAGTTCTGACTCTGTCCTGCCCATCTGCAGCCCTCCTCAGTGTTGGGGCCCCACGCTAGTCCCTTGGGTCCTTCTGGAGGGAGACGCTTGTCCAAAGCAAATAACAAAGTCTTTAAAAGTAATTTAATAAAGTATCACGAGCTGGCTGTCTTAAAACAGAAATGTATTCTCACACAGTTCTGGAGCCGGAAGTCTGGCATTAGGGTGTGGGCAGGGTCATGCTCCCTTTGACGATGGGATGGGAGCATCTGTTCTACGCCTTTCCCTTAGCTTCGGGGTGGCCGGCGGTCCTTGGTGTTCCTTGGCTTGCAGCTGTGTCACTCCCCTCTCTGCCTCCACTGTCACATGTTCTTCTCCCTGTGTGTGTATCTCTCTTCTTCTTATAAGGACATCAGTTAGTGGATTTAGGGCCCACCATAATCCACTATGACCTCATCTTAACTTTATTACATCTGCAAAGACCTGGTTTCCAAATAAGGTCACAATCACGGGTACTGGGGATTAGGTCTTCAACATATTTTTTGGAAGACACAAAGCAGCCCACAACAGATTTCATTTTGTTTGTCTCCAAATCCCATCTGTCCCCTCTACCCGCATCTCTCAGGACTCTGGAGGCCTGGGCATGGGCAGAGACCACCACACACCCATCCTCTCATAGCACTTTTTTCTTTGCCAGGTGACAGGGTGACAGATGCTGATCTTGATGTTCAAGGCTGAGTCTTGTTCTGCAGGGGGAGGGCTTGGTTGGAAATGCCGCTTTTCTCTGTGTTGGGGCTGGGCGGGGAAGAGGTAGAGGGTGCATTTGAAGGAGTGATGGGGCTGCCAGTGGAAAGGACTGACCTCGCTGGGGCTCTGGGCTTGAGTCCTGGCTCCACTGCTCAGTAGCTCTTGATCTTGGGCAAACTTATTTAGCTTCTCCGGGGCTCAGCTTCCTCGTCTGTAAAATGGGATAATGCTAACGACTCCTTGTTAGATCTCACAGAGTGTTTATGAGGATTATATGATAAAAGATGGATGTGAAAGTACCTTTTTATTTTATTTTATTTATTTATTTTTTCCTTTTTGTCTTTTTTCGTGACTGGTAATGGGATCGCAACCCTCAGTGTCGCGCCCGCACCGCGCTCAACCAGCGAGCAGACCGGTCTCCATATGGGATCCAAACCCTCGGCGGGAGCGCCGCCGTGTTCCCAAGCGCTGCACTCCACCGAGTGCACCACCGGGCCGGCCCAAAAGTACCTTTTTAATAAATCGTTGTGGTAAAAGATGTGTAACGGAATTTGTTATTGTAACTATTGAAGTGTACGACTCGGGCATTAAGCACGCTCACATGGTTGTGCAGCCATCACTTTTTTTTTTTTTTAAAGGTGACTGTTAAGGGGATCTTAACCCTTGACTTGGTGTTGTCAACACCACGGTCTCCCAAGTGAGCCATAGGCCGGCCCTTAAACTGGGAATACTTTTTATTCACTTGATAAATAAGGAAACTGAGTCCATGGTCACCCAGTGAGTTAGGGCAGAGCTGAGCTGAGAATTCCCGTCCCCTGACTCTTGGGGTGGTGCTCATGACCTTCCCGGGGCTGGGGACCTATGAGGCCTCTTTGGGTTGGATCTCTCCAGAGGGCTTCCTCAGTCTCTTAAAACCATCTCCCAGGACTGTGAGGCCTCCAGGCAAACTGGAATTTGTGCAGTGGTGGGATGTGCTGAGCCCTCTTCCTTCCTGATGCCCAGTGGCCTGCTTGGTTAGAGATCCGCTCTCAGCAGGCCCTGGGCACCTTTGTGTACAAAGCTGCTTCCCTCAGGCCATCTCAGCCTCTCTCCACCTCCTGCATCTTCCTCCCTCTACCTGTTCATTTCTCAAATGGGACAAAGTTCCAGTGGAGAACTGGGGGAGCTAAATTTGGGGTGACCTTGGCGATCGCTTTGTGAGGTACCTCACTGAGGTTCTGGGTTGACCTGTGTTCGGGTCCTTCCTGTAGCTAGCTCATCGAGCTGCCGTAGAATTCTAACTGAGCACATGGTTACTGAGGTCCTACTATGTGCTCATCTTGGGGACAATGCCAGTGAGCTTGGAGCTTCCGTGAGATGCAGATGATGCAAGACCTGCGGGTCTGTGGCAAAGGGCACTCACCTGTGGGAGCTGCCTATGTCTGTTAGACATGGTGGGGAGGGAAGCATCCTCCCCTGGCCCAGGCTGATGGTGACAATCCATGGCCAGGTCACCAGGGCAGGAGGAAGAAGGCATGGGGATTGTCATGCACGTTGGACTTGGGGGCCCTGCACTCCACATAACCCACTACATCCATGCCTGGTGCTGGGGACCTGGGGCAGACCCAGGTCAGACAGTGGATGTCTTCACGTGTCTGATGGCCAAGTGTGGAGCAGAGTGTGCACAAGCAGTTATGATGCAGTGTCCTAGGTGACGACAGAGCGGAACCGGTGACGGTATGCTATGGTCACCAGGGGGCTGATCTGCCTGGTGGGATTGGAGAAGGGCATGGAGGGATGGCAAGGGAGCCTTTGCTCTGACTTGATGTAAAAGAGACCAGCTGGGAATGCCCATGGGATATCTCCCCCTAAAGAGGCCCCCAGGGGCTGGCTCCTTTGACTCTCTGATGGATCTGATGAGGTACCTGGGGCAGAGATTATTGTACCCATTTTGCAGGTGGGAAGAGTGACATGTTGAAGAACTGGGGCAAGATCATCCAGGAGTGTGGCTGAGCCGAGAGCAGAGCCCTGCTTTCCTGCCTCTGTCCCAGGCATTCTCCGCAAACCCACCCCAGGTCCTGTCTGTGTTCCTCTGGCCAAAAGCCATGCAGAGCAGGCTGTGTCTGTACCTTTTGAAGTCAGTCCTTTTCGTCAGTTGGCCACTGAGTTTTCAAGCTGCATCATGTGCCTGGCTCTCCAGGAAGTTTTTGTCCTCAAGGAGCTCACAGTTTGGGGTACCCCAAGACTTGGTTCCCCCCACTTTCCTTCCCTCCCTCTTCCTGGCCTCCTCCAGCCCCGGGAGCTGCAGAGAGGAGATGCTCTGGCACTGGCTGGGCAGAGGAGACTAGAAGGCAGCTGGACTGAAGTCCTGTTTTCTCTGTTGGGTCTTCTCCCCGCCACCAGGTCCCGGCTGGCAGACTTCCATGCCAATTGTCGAGCTTCCTACCAGACGCTTACCAGCTGCCCTGCGGACAATTACCAGGCGTGCCTGGGCTCCTATGCCGGCATGATTGGTAAGCTCTCCCTGTGTGTCTGGGCTCACAGTGGATCCTTGCTGCCACTGGGCTGGGCCACAGCCCTGCCCTGCTGTGGTTGGGGACAGCCTGAGGCTTAGCCTTCTCTGCAGCAGATTCAGATGGAGCTGCAGTAGGAAACCAGAGGGAGGCCAGCTGTTTGTCAAGGAGGAGGGTCCCAGCTCCTAAATCACAGGGAAGGAGGGTGGGGGAGAGCTCCAGGAGCCTTGTAAGGCTTTTGAAATAGGAGGAAAAGGTGACATTATTGCAGGGTTCTGATGTTCTAGGTGCTGCGCTGAGCAGTTGACACAGCTGTCTTATTGAATCTTCCCAACAGCTCTTACGAAGAAGGGGTTGATGTCTGCATTTTGCACATGAGGAAACTGAGGCATAGAGCAGTTGAGTAACTTGTGCAGGCTCCCCTAGCTGGTCCTTGTTGGCACTGGCATCCAGCATAGTGTGAGCCTTAGTCTCCCTGATTGTAGAACATGCACGCTGTTTGTTGGTGAAGAAGAAAGCAATGCCCCCATTTGGGGCAGTGGCTTCTGGGCATCTGCTCAGCCTTCCTGGTGATGAGGAGCCCAGGATCCTCTGTGCCTATGGCCCCCACACCCTGCCGACCTTCACGGTCATTGGGATAGTAATGCTCAGAGTTAGCACTGTGAGTTGGGGTGTGGGGTGTATGTGTGTTTGGGGCAGGTGGGTACCACAGCTCTGCCCTGCTGTGCCTGCGGTCTGCAGGCCCAAAGGGAAGGCCCTACTGCACCTGTCTCCTTTCCTTCCTCTTTCTCCCCGCCCAGGGTTTGATATGACACCCAACTACGTGGACTCCAGCCCCACTGGCATTGTGGTGTCCCCCTGGTGTAGCTGTCGTGGCAGTGGGAACATGGAGGAAGAGTGTGAGAAGTTCCTCAGGGACTTCACTGAGAACCCGTGCCTCCGTAAGTTCTGGAATGTTCTCCCCATCCCTAGAAACCCTTCCACCCCTGGGGCTCTGGAGTCTGCCCTGGCCATTCCCTTCTTCCTCAGTTGGGATAGCCAGTAATATATATGAGGCTTTTTCACCATGGGTGTTGCCTGCGGGGTCCTTGGTCCTTGGTTTTTGTGCTCTCAGAGATTCACACCAGAACTGTCAGTAGGCCAGCCTCAGTTTACCACCGGAGGCCCTGAACTTATTATTGCAAGTCAAGGTCAAATCTTTCTGGTCTGTTATTCTGACAGTTTCAGCCAGGCTCCTTTGGAGACTGAGCTGTCTCATGAGGAGCTCAGGCATCTCTCAGTTATGCCTTTTTTAAAAAATTTTTTTAAATTTTTTTAATTTTGTCAATATACAATGTAGTTAGTTATTGTGTCCCATCACCAAAACCTCC